CGTGAGTGGGGGGGCGGGGCTGGAGCTGGGGGTGGCTGCTGCTGGGCAAGGGAGAGTTACCAGAGTGACTTGCAGCCTTCCCCGCCAGCTTCCCCACTGACTTTGCGGAAAGGGTTAGGGTTGGATTGCGTGGCTGTGGGATGCTGCAACAATTGCCAAGCACCCAAGTCGCGATCACATGGGGGTGCTGGAACGGCCTTTGAGGACCGGTTGTAAGTACCGCTCATTCAGTGCCATCATAACCTTGGACGGTCGCTGAATGAATAGTCGTTAACCAAGCACTACCTGTACTCTATACTATTACTTCTATACTATGCTCTGTACTATTACTGTTATATAGCAACGGTTTCGACTTACAAAGCCTGTTCTGTCTTAATTCCTCCCTGGGGTTTCTTCTCCTTTCTTTCCATTCTGTTCATGGCCAGCACCTTTCCACATTGTGCTCCGCCTCGCTGGGCCCCCATGCTTCTGTCTTGTCTTCTCTGGACCGCCCGCTCCCTCTGAGGGAAAAGCGCCTCCTTGTTTTGGCTGCGGAGTGTCAAAGCACGCTTCTCCTCCCACACCCATGTCGAGGTTGCTGCTTTATCAGCAACTCTGCCATGCTGACGCTGGGGGAAAGGCTCAGATGGGAGGAAAGAAGGCAGCACAGGGCCTGCTCTTCCGCGGGCCAACACCGGGACGGGATCGCTTGACCAGGAGCGGAGATGTGTGATTAAGTATCGTCAGCACACTGATGATGCCATGCCTTGTGCCATCCTTCCTGCAGTCTTGTGTAGATGTTGAAAAGGAGGGGTGAAAGGTCTGAGCCCTGAGGTACCCCATATTGCAGGCCCTAGGGGCTGACCTCTACCTCCCACCAACCCTGACAAATCTGGCACAGAGGAAGGAGGAGAACCACTGCAAAACAGTGGGGAGGAACTAATTCCAACTCAATCCTACCGAGACTGAGTGGCTGTGGATATTAGGGTCCCCTGGAGCAGACGATTTTCCATCTATAGCACTTCTCCACTCGAGTGGTGTGCAACCTGGGGATCCTCTTGGACCCAGCTCCTGCTCAATGGGGGCCTTTCTGGACCAGCAGGCCCTTCAGATAGTCACTAATGTCCTAGTAATCTCAAGGTTTGACTACTGCAATGTGCTTTATGTGGGTCTGCCCTTGAAAGCCACTCAAAGCTGCAACTGGTCCAAAATGTGGTGGTGCGGGCGGTGATGGGCGTACTGCGATATGCCTGTGTGATACCTCTGCTCTGTGAGCTGTGTTGGTTGTCAGTATGGCTAGAGATCTGGAGCCCACCCCATAGCTTTGCAAGTGTAGACAGCCACGCCCACTCAGATTCCTGTGACATTCTTTGGAAGCAAAAGTTGGACTTTGAAGAATCAGGATGATAAGAGCATTGATGCTTTTGGACATTGGAGAAGACTCCTGAGTGTACTGTGGAGAGCCAAGAAAAGAAACAAATGGGTCACTGGACAAATAAATCCAGGGTTTTCATTTGAGGCACAAATGACCAGGCTCCAATTATCCTACTTTGGATACATGATGCAAAGACCCAGCTCTCTGGAGAAGGCTCTGATGCTGGGAAAAATGGAAGGAAAGAGAAGTGGATGGCCAGCAGCAAGGTGGAGGGACTCAGTTACGCTGGTGACGAATGCACTGTTGGAAGACCCCAAGGACCAGGTTAGAGACTGACTGTCGTGGAGAAAATCTACCTACTTGATGGCGCATAATCTAAAAAAATGTCTGGCCAGAGTTCTGGGGCCTTCTCTGCAGCCTGCACTACTGTGCTAATTGAGGCAGGACTGGGACTTCTTTGGGGGCCAAACCGGTCCTTACCTGGAAGCAGGGGAAGTGGCTTCGTGCATCTTGAATCCCAGTCAGTCAGCCAGTTCTCCAGATCTGAAGAACTGCCTGTACACAACTACAGAAGTACAGAGGCACCAGCAAATTGTGTGAAGGCAGCTTTAGTAAAAGGCTAGTGTAGCCATTTATCTGGTTCCATTATTTTAAAGCAAAATTCCCAATTTTAAAAGCCCAGTGGATGGGTGGCCACGGTGCTTCGGTTCTGCACCAAAGCATCTGAGATCAGCTTCATACTGGTGAAGACCTCTTCCCAACTGGCAGATTTGGCTTCCCGCAGAGATGCACACACTCGCTGGAATGCCTGTACAGAGAGACAGACCTGGGCCAGTCCGCCCATGCAGGGCAGAAAGCCTCCCACAAAGTAAAGACGTTTTGCGGTTTTATGGGACCTCCTTTCCAGTGACCAGATGTTTATGAAAGCAGCATCTTGACTGGGGGATCCCTGGCAATGACAGTAGCTTCTCCACAACCACATCGCTGTGGCTTAACTCCCCCTGAATGCTTGAAAGTAAGTCTACGCAATAGGCGGTATCCTAAGTAATTGTGGTGGGGCTGCAGCAGCTGGAGATTCTCCGCCCTCTGTTGCCAGCTGAAGGCCGTTGGGGCCTGGAGGAGGCTGCACGGCACCTGCCTTGGAGAGCCACTCACGTTGCCTGGGCTAACGAGAAGCTGTACCAAAGAGGCAGGGTTCAAGTGTAAAGGACTGGGATGACCAGATGTGAGCTAGGCTTCTTCAGGCCCAGAAGCTCTTGTTCCTTCTAGTCATCCCAGGTTCTGGGTCCTAACCTGGACATCCTCCTGCAAGTCTCCTAAACTGGCCACGGTCTCCCTCAGCTCCCCTAGGTCCAAGCTTTGCTCTCCAAAAGGGGTGTTGTCCCTCCCAGCCAGTGACTTCTTGCCCCAGCCAGTCTCACCATGTTTCCTTCAGGCAACAAGGTGGGAGCCATGCTTTCATCCCCACGAAGGCACGTGTCTCCCTGGTGCTGAAGGGGGAGGGGGTCTGGGTATCAACTGGCATAGCGCATCCTTGGGCCAGTCAAAGAAGTAATGATCCGTGGTGTGGGGGTGCTCCTTCAAGCCTCACCCAAGGCAAGAGTCACTAATCTGGCTTCTGCACTGAACTGGGCTCTGGGAAGGCCCACAGGTGAGATCAGAGCCACCCAGCTTGGAGGAGACTGTGACTTCTGCCAGGTACTTTGCTGGAGGCCTGGCCCCCCACAACTGCAACTGACTGCAGGGGGGAGCAGGGGCTGTCATGCTACGCCTTGCCCCGTGCTGCGCGGCTTGGGCAGAGATGGCCAGGGCAGCAGGCTCTGAGTGGGAAGGGGAGGAAGGCAGAGATCAAAGCCGGGCAGGGCTGAGGGGGCCCGAGCTAGTCTGGGGTGAGGCAGAGGAGGACCCAGCCAGGGAAGCAGCTCTGGCTGAGAGCCAGCAGACCGTAGTGGCTGCGCCCCTCGTCCTACCTGCTGGCACCATGTCTGGCACAAAAGCTTCTCGTGCTGAGCAGCGGGCTGGCCCAGAGAGAGTGCACGGCTGGCCCTGGAACAGCAAGATGGCCAGGAGGGGATGGAGGAGGCTCAAGGGGAGGCGGAAGGCCTTCGCCAGAAAAGGTGGACAGGCAGCCCACCCCCGCCCCACCTCCTTCCTCCTACCTGGCTAGAACCACGGCCATGGCATAGGTGTCGATGGCAGCATCCGCCACACGCCTCAGGTGGAATTGCTTGTCTAGGGAGAATCCCGGAGGGGTGAGTCAGCCACGTTGGCGGCTCTCCCACAGCGCCCCACGTGCTCTTGGTTCTGCTTCCTCTGCAGCAGCCCCCCGTTTTGCTCTGGGGTGCTGGGGTCCTGCAGAACAGTCCGTTCAGGGCCACTCAACCGTCAGCTCCATTTCCGTAGCGGAAACGGCTTGCTTCTGGGAAACCAGCAGGTGGATGCCGGTTGCGTGCTGAGCTGCACCCTGGTGGGCACATCAAGAGTCTCCCTGCAACTCTGGCACTGAGCTCAGTTAAAGGGCCCTGGGAGCGAGGATGGCTGCGGGAGACGGTACCCCTGAGCGGCCATCATCAGGCTGAGGGTCCTGCAGGCAGGGCGTGAAGGCAGCTGCTGCTTGGACGTTCACACAGGCATGGAGACGCCCACACCAACCCCTGACTTCCTCTTCGTGGTCCATTAAGCCACAGTTGGGATCAGCAGTTAGGGCATGGGAGGACTCCGCTGGAATTACACATTGCGTGAAGCTGTGGTGTACTTCACCCGGCTATTGGCTAAGCCGGTGCAACACATTAAGCAGAAGTCACGGCTTACAGGGCGCAATAGCTGGACTGATGCAACAGGATAAGCCACCAGGAGTTGTTGCCTCGGGCTTAGCGTGGTGCATGAATCCAGACGGGCAAAAAGAAGATGGGAAGAGCAAAGCGGGGATGGAGTGGGCCAGTGTTGCAGTGGGAAGGTGCCCTTGAAGTAACCGGGAGGAGGGCCCCTGCCCGCCTCCCCACCGTATTGCAGGGTCTCCCTCCCTCCCATGCTGGGGCTGCTGGTGCAGGAGAGATGCTCAGGAGGAGTCTGGGAGTGCCTTTTCCGGCTAACCCATTTCATTCAAAGGCAGAAACGTTCGTGAGCTGCAGTTCGATTCATCAGATGCAGTGCAGTGGCTAGGCCAGTGTGGGATTTGAAGTGGGGTGAAGCTGGGGGGGACAGCCAGGGAAGACAGGGTAGAGGGTAGAGGCAGGTGAGATGTGAGACCGATTACCAGTATCCAATCAACTAACAAAAGGGTTCAGGCAATCTCAGAAGGTCTCACGAAGTGTCTAACAAACACAGTGGCTTTTAACACACTACCATTGTTAATTCCCCTCCCCGACCCCTCAAACCCTATGCCAGACTAGTCCCTCCATGCTCCTGAGGAAGGGAGCTGCAGCCCAGGAGAACCTCTGCCTTGGAACGGATGGATGTCAGGAGAGTCGCACTGGATGACCTCCACTTCCATGCTGGGGCTTGGTGAGCTGCTTGGCATGCTCTTGGGGGGCAGGCTGGCCTCCCCATGGGCCAGCAGGTGCCTGCTCGGCTTCCGCCTCTGGCAGGCTGTGCTCCCTTCGAGTAGGTGTTGCATCGCCACTGGGAAAACTTGCTCAGGACTGAGCTAGAAGACCAGGTGTCCTTACAATGGATGTCCACCTCCCAGGCAGCCCCCACCCCCGTCCCCTCAGGGCCTGTACCAGTCACTGCCGCGCCATACTTCAGGAGCAGACTTTCGATGGTTTCTCCAAACAGCTCGACGGCCCTGGTGACCTTCCAGAGAAAGGGCAGAGAGGCCAGCCTGGCTTGTCTCCCCAGAGCTGGCTGAAGGGGGCCCAGACGGATTCCCAAGACAAGGGCCTCCTCCAGATGTTCCCCACCTCCCTCATTTCTTGCGCGACTGCTCCTCGCTCCAGAGTGGGGTGGCTGCGAGGAGGGGACTTGGGCATTGCCTGCTTCTCACGGAGGAGAAGCAGCAGCTCAGGGAAGCCAACTCCTCCACAATGTGGTTGCTTTCTGGGGAATGTCCAGGAGCAACGCCTGAAGGACAGCTGCTTTTGGAAGACCCTTTTAACTCTGGGTCTTAGAAAAAGGGTTTGGTAAGAAAAGGTTTGAGAAAACCTCCAGAAGGGGCCCGGTGGTTTCTGCTGGATGAGTCCGTTGGCAATTCAGAAAGCTTTCGGGCTGCAAGGAAAGTTTCTTCAGACAGAGGAGCTCTGTTCTGAAGGCTGCTCGGTTGCCAGCTCGCAGGGGCGCTCAAAGGAACCCCCCAGCCTGCTTGTTCTTGCCAGGCTCCCTCACCAGAGTGGCGCAGTCGTCCAGGTCCGGGTGAACAAGGCCCTGCAGCGTCTGGCCGCTGGGGATCCCAACTTTGCTGCGGGAGAAAAAGACAGCGAGGGGATCTGCTAAACGTGGGTGAGGCCCAGCAGGCAGAGAGCAGGACGTTAGAGGCGGGCACCGGGCCAGGGGGCAGCAGCACGTCTGGGGGGAATGTCCCCAAAGGGCCCCCTCAGCTCCAGATTTCCACCAGCAGCGCATCTCACCGTTTCATCCGCATCACCACCTCCTTGCTGATGGTTTCAATGTTCCCCAGGGGGTCAGAAAAGTCCTCCTGCAGGCCGCTCAGGGTCTCCCCAGCAAACTGAGAGCAGAGAGGAGGGTCTG